AGGGCTGATCTCAGCAATTTTGAGCTTAGGGGCTTATTTCAGTTTTAAATCTCAAACTGACTTGGAAGAACTAGGAGCAATTCCAATTAAAGCCTTTGGTGGGGTCTAGAATTTTTTTTATTGTAGTAACAGAATATTTACTGGAAAACAGGTAGACTTGGTAAAGTTTCTCATATTTTTTTTTTCTTCTATGTATTTGCATAGGCTGTAGCAAAATGGGTTCCTTTCTTGTGAAGTGACAACTGCTTTTTCCTTTAAGTGACTGTACAACTGTGGATTCTTAATGCAGGTGAAGTAAAAAGGGATATAAAAGTGCAATCTGGTTTGAAATACATGTAGTCATTCAGTAGTGGTCTCTGAATCTTGGCATAAGGTAGATCAATCCTGTTTGTTAACAATGTTCTGAACAGTTTAACTGTTTAGGCTGAGGAGAAGGTGGAGAAATAGCAAACTAATGCTCAAATTTGGAATTTTATGAAGTTGTTTATAAGCAAAAGCCTTGAAGCCCTCAGTTTTGAGGGACCAGCCAAGAATGACACAACATCGTGCAGGTTTCTCTACAGGAGGAGGCCTTGGTTAACCTTGGGAAATTATAATCCAACAGGGAAGACTGAAACACTTAGTGAGGTTAGGGTTAGATTTCTTATATTGAGGGTGGCATGGTTTGATTAGTCCTGTGGCCAAGTACAGATCTCGAAGTCTAAATCAGAACAGCTTTATAGTAACTACTATGGTTTGATTTGTAGATCTTGCTGTGCTTCATGTGGCCAGCCTGTCTGCTGGTCTAACCTTCATTTCTTGGTCTGAAGAGCATCTTTCACTAGCATCACAAAGCTCATATTGTACATATGGCATTGTGTAATCTTTTATAAAACAAATGCAGAGTTATCAAGTCAATGGCTTAATCCTTATCTTTTAGAGCAGATGAAGCAGGTAATTATTTCTGATTTCTTAAAGATGAAAGATTGCCCAAAAAAGTTTATGCTCTGACCTGGCCTCTGTCTAGCACTTTATTTTGAAGGAGGATGGACTGTAACCAGAAGAACTGCCCCCTCACATTGCCCTCCCCCCCAAAAAAAAAAATAATCTTTGAGAAGGTTTTTTTACAGCTTATGACACTTACCATATAATGTTCAACATGGTGTCATTAAACCTGAGAGTAAAATGACAGATTGAAATTAAACAGATTGACTGCCATTGACTGGATTGCTTCCCTTCCTGTCAGAGGAGGGTTGATCTTGTTGTTTGGGTACAGTTTACTTTTCAACAAGTAAAGAGCAATATGGGAGAGGAGGGAATACTTGTCACAGAATTAGGTGATGTGTCTGGACACTTGCTCAGAGTGGGGTGGTCAGCAGATGTATTAAGATTCTTGGCCTTAAATTTACATTCCCTTAAACTGAAGGGAATTGAATAATGTTTTAAAGGCAACTGAAGTCATCACAGGTTCTTCCAGACACTGCTGCTTTTTTTGAGTGGTGGTTGGATTTCCCAAGACTGACTTTTCTGTGAGGAACACATGAGTAATGTCAGTGTCCTGAGTGCCTCAAAGATGCTTAATCTACAGAATGGGATGAAAATTCAGCTTTGCTTACTCAGATGACTGGCAAGGGAGCTTCCACTTTTGTCAATTGATTATTTTTTTTTTTACCTCAAACTGTTAGATATGAGCTTTGAACCATGATGTGTACACTGTTTCTTGGGCTGCAGAGATGGAAATGCAAGCCAACAAAGTTGGCCTCAATGACTTTCTGAACCAGCGATGTGCTATTATCCTGTTGTTTTGTAAACACTGGTACTGCTGCACAGACACTGCCTGTGCCACACTGCTTCAGCCTTGCCTTGTTCTGTACTGCCTGGCTATTCCAGAGCTGGAGGGGGCCATGTTCCCTCTGTTGCCACCAAAGAAGAGATGCCTTGTGTGAAGCTTCTGGGATCTCACTGAGGGCATACAGCGTGGGGGTTGTGTATTCAGAAGGTTCATGTAGTGTTGATACTCTAAAATATTCAAGTGGCACTTGTAACAGCTCTCCAGGGAAGGTCAAGTACCTTGGCCATTAAGAGCCAGGCTAACTTTAGATGCAATAAAACTGTAAATCTGTGTGCTATTGGATGAGTTTTGTTTAATGTTATACTTTGGTTACAAGTCAGGCAATACTGTAGGGCTAACCTTGCAGTTTCTACTGGCCCATGTTGAGGTGGGATGGAGAATGAAGGATTTGAATATTCTCTCCACTTACCTCTATGATGAGCTTGTACTGAAGCAAGTTGATCATTATTTTACATAAGGCAGCTATTCCTGTAACGTGACCAGGTAAAGATGTGGTATCTGTATTGACAGGAGGGAGAAAGTTGCTATCTTCTGTCTTGGCTGTTAGTAAACAATCTTTTTATGGCAGTTGCATAGCACAGTGGAATTAGAGCAACTTAATAGACAGCAGCACTAAGTTTGTGTTAGCAGAAAAATGTTTAACTTGAAAGCTTTGTGTTATCTAACACAGGAGTTACAGCGATTTTAGGATGCTTGCTAAATGAATATTCAAAAGGTTAAAACCAGTCACAATTACACTGAAAAGTTGCTAAGGGTCACTTGGCTTCTCCGGAAGGCAACTTATCTACTGCTCTCAAAACCAGGCTACTCTTGAACTAAGACAAAATAAATGTGCCTACAACTTAATAGCAAGCTGTGTTATTACTGGAACACTTAAAAGTCCCCAAACCATCTCGTATAGTCAATCTGTAGCTCTTATGCCTTGAGTGTCTATGTCCAAGCAAACTGAATTTTACTTTCTCATCTGTAGAACACGTGGACGATAAGCAAAGAAAGCCTTTCAGCAAAAAATTCTGGAGTTCAGATGCTGCCTGTTGTGTTTTCTCCCAGTTTTTCCACATTCCCCTGGCAGGGAGCTCTGTTCTCCCCCCTCCCCCCCCCTTGCCTCTCTGGTGAATGTGAACTAAAATCAAGCTCGGGTTTGGAATCTGTGGGGTAATCACTGAATTCACTGTCCCCAACACAAAATGCATGTTTGTGCTATGCAGGGAGAGTCTCTGAGTAGTAGGAGTTATCACATCCCCCTTCTGTACTAAGGAGTGTCCTTGTTGAGGGAGCTGATATGTAACATAACATAGAAGATTAGCAGAGGAAAATACCTGTCCTCACTTACCAGTATTTATCCCAGAATGAACACTTACAGGTGATTAATTTGCATTACTGTACTAAATAGGTGTAGCAAACAGGTGTGAGTAAAATACTCTGCGTGGAAAAGTACTACTGCTCAGAGGTTTGAAACTGCTGTCCTGAGGGTGCTTCTTGATTGTTGGCATCTTTGTTCTTGTATGCAATAGTCAATGAGAACTTAGTTTGATCTGTTGCTTTTCAGAGCATCAGGTCATGACAAGGGGGAAAATTCTTCACCATCAGTGTACCCGAGGGCAGGTTGCCCAGACTGATCATGGAATTGTCAGCCTCAAAACACAGGGCACATAAACTGGATTGCCTGGAGCAAGCTGCTTTAAGGGGGAGGTTTGGACTGGGCAACATCCAAAGGTCCTTTCCAGGCTGAATAATCCTATGGTGTGTTTGTAGGTTGACAATCCCTTAGTCTCTGATTAATTTTGTTGAGGGCAGCTAGTTAGCCTGAAGTTTTTACCCTTGTATTTCCATCCAGTAGAACTTGATGGTGTGCTGTGGCAGTTCCAGTGTCTTTCTGGAGTAATCATTTCCAGGCAGATTTGAGACTCCTGGTAGGCCTGTTGCTTCTGTGCTTCTGGAATAATGGGCACTACTATAAATCGAGGCTGGTATAGCCACTTTCCATAGTGGTATTTCTTGAATCCTCTGCTGTTCTCCTTACAGCACACTGCCAGGATATGAACAGCTGGGGCCCTTAGTTGTCATGCTGTGAGGACGCAAGTGTTGCTATGCTAGCATCTCCCTTATAGCCATCTTGTGTCTGGAATACACATCTTTGTTGTGTTGGTTATTTTTTTCTCTTGTGTGGGAATCCTGACTGATGACACATCTTTGTGTATCAGTTGCTTCTGCTTTTGTCCCCAATGTGCTGTTCTTAGAGCTGCTGCTCTGTGCTAATCAGTGTGGCAGCTGATGCTTGTGTTTATCACAACTACTGTGTCCAGCTACTCTTAAAAAAAAAGGCAGTATTATTTTTAAGAGGTCTCCAGCACTTAATTACTTGGTTTGCATAACACACAAACAAAGTCTTGTTAACCAGTACTAGTTTATTGAAGCTTACTCTTTTATGGCTTTGCAACCTCAGGAGGAGAATAGTAACTGAGAATTTCTTGCAGTAAAGCAGGATTTCATTTTTTTTCCCCAAAAGCAAATTAAATTTGCAGCATCAAAAGGCAGGAAGAGTATAAAATAAATGCTAATGTCATGTTATAAGACTTTCTGCTGGAAGCTTTTGCAACTTGTTGCTGCCAGAACTTACTGTGTATGTCTGCTTTTTTTTTTTTCTTAGCCTATGTAGAAAGGAGATCAAAAGTCATCTTTCTACCTATAAGCAGATCTGAGGTATAACTCTGCTTCCAGGTTGAAACTAAACTGCATCAACATTAAAGAAACATTTCAGAAAGGTATAAAACCTTATAATAAGAACAATAAACCCCACTTAATTTCATGTTGTTTGAGAAAGTGTTGGGTTTTTTTCCTTTGGAAACTGTTCTAGATAGCAGTCATGTAGGATGGGTTTACAAATAAGAACAGCTTGTTCAGCTAGTAGCTGCTTTGAGAAGCCTTTGGCACTTTTATTAATGGTACTGTTGTCACAGATACCTTCTGTTTGTCCTAATACCTCATTCGTGCTCATACTTTAGACATCAGTGACATAGTTTGCTTGCTGGTGCATTGAAATGGCCCATTCCTCAGGCTTGCTGGGCAGGGTTTTAATCTGATCTTTCAGCACTAGTGAGATGCTTTACCTGCATGCTACCATGATGTCACTAATGTCATGGATGGTGACTGTGTTTCTTCTGTCTTCAGATCTAATTGGTTGCCTGGCACTTCATTTGTGGCAAGCAGGACAATGGCTGCCAGCAAGAGCAAGAACCAGAGTTCCTTGGCCCTCCATAAAGTAATTATGGTTGGCAGTGGAGGTGTGGGCAAATCTGCACTGACTCTTCAATTTATGTATGATGAAGTAAGTAGCTTTGGTTCAGCTTCTCTAAAGTACCAATGGATACAGCTTACTAAACTTTTTTAGTGGGACAGGAGAACTAAATGTAAGTAGCAAATGACCTGACTGGCAGGAGAAGTATGTAGGAATCTGGGAAGGGTACCCTCTGGGAACATCTTTGGCTAAGGGAGATAATATTGATGCTTATTAGTGAAAAAACAGTCTTCAAATGACATGCATAATATGCACGTGCTTGTCTGAGTGTCCAGAGGCTGTTAACAGTTGGCCACTTTGTGTTGCAGTTTCTTTTAGGCCGGTTAAGGTTGAAGTCAGAAGTACACATTCTAGCTCATTCTGAGGTGGATGATGAAGTAGGCATGCTCATAGCATGAATTCTTCCATAGCGATATACAGGAAGCTAGATCAGACAATCCAGACAAGCATGTGAAAGGAATTCAGAAGTTAGTATTTATCTATAGGCTGTTCACACATACTGTAGTGATGTGAGTATCTGAACAGGTGGTATAGTCATTAGTGAAGGCCAGCCAGCCTAATCAGGCTCACGACACAGCCTTTTGTTGTACTTTGAGGCTGAGAGAAAGGAGGTGGGAAGGTAAGGAACCTATGTTGGATATGTGCTGTCAGCAGATAACTACAAGTTGAACTGGCAGTGGCTTTGTGGGTCTGATCAATATTAAACGGACTAAGGTATGTGCCTGTGTAATTATGCAGCAAGTTTTCATGTTTAACAGCTGGATACTGTCATCTACATCTGTGGAAGTTTCAGATACCTGTACCTAAAGTACACGCAAATGCTTTTTCTTGAAATGGGAGATCTAGATAAGGCCACCAGGTTGCTGGTAGCTTATACTGCATTTTTGTGCCTTAAATTTTGCTGAAATTGGTGAACAGTGTTTCATGTAGCAAGACCGTTTCTCTTGACTAGGCAGATTGGCTCTTTGATGTATTAAGTGCTTAAATAATTTGCTTTTTATAGTAAAACTAAAAAAAGTAGTGGAACTTAGTAGCTGACTGAATTATGAGAAGGTTTTTGAGAATTTAAATGTCACTGAAGTGAAAGAGAATGAATATGGACAAGTACTGAGACTATTTGACAGTAATTCTGAACGCTAATCCCTTTCTTATCTTCAGTTTGTAGAAGACTATGAACCTACCAAGGCTGACAGCTACAGAAAGAAAGTAGTTCTGGATGGTGAAGAAGTTCAGATAGACATTCTGGACACAGCAGGACAGGAGGATTATGCAGCTATCAGAGATAACTATTTTCGTAGTGGGGAAGGGTTTCTTCTAGTCTTCTCAATAACAGAGCATGAATCCTTCACAGCAACTGCAGAGTTCCGGTAAGTAGTTTCTCTCCCAGGCAGGGGGAAATATCTGGTCCCTATGTTACTCTGACAACGCTTCTTAAAAGCTACAGCTCTTTATCCTTTGTCTGTTAACATTGGGTCAATAAAACTGGCAACCCAACCATTTTGCTCTCAGTAACTGGTGACTTAAACCACGATATTGAGCCTCTGGCTCTGGTTGTCTTCATGCCTGCAGCTTCTAAGTACATTATGCCAGCAGCAACTTCAGGCAAGTAACAGATTCTTGGACTCTTAAAACATGCATATTCAAGCCAACTTTCAGTCTTTGTAGATGTGAAGTTTAATTATCTTTAGAACAGTACTTCTGGAATTAAGTCTGCCTTTTGGCCAGGTTTCAGACACTGTATTGCTTACTGCTAGAAGCAGGTGCTCTAAGGAAAGGAAGGATTAGCCTCCATGCTCAGGTATGGATTGGTGCCAAACCGGGGTTGGCAGCCAAGCAGTACTATTGTAGGGAGATGTATTCCTAGAAAGGCGTGCAGTAGTAGTAAATGCTTCCATTTTTGTTTTGGGATTAGTAGTTCTAATGTGAAAATCAGCACTGGACTGAGCACAGAAACTGCTTGTGTAGTGTAAAGTTAAAACAAGGGGTTTAAACCATTGTCCTGGTCTCAGAACTCATGTAGCCATGTTCTTCATGGCAAGTGTTCTAACTCTTATTTGATAATAGCTCTTGCCTCAGTGTAGAAGGTAATCCAGAGGTTCCCTAGGTCAGCTGTCCAACTTGAAGTAAAACTTTCCAAAACATAGGGAAAGTGTTAGGAGTTCCTTATGTTTGCCGGAATAAAAGCTCTTTGTCAGTCTGGCTTATGTTCAGTTTGCTTCAGTCGTGCAAGGTTAAGAGATACTAATTGGTAATGCAAGTGCTGGTACTAAGGTAGACACCTATTTCTAGGATTTTCTTAAAGCTATGGCAAACTCCCCTTGCACTTTAGGACTTTGGTCCAGGTTCCTAATGTATTACACTATTGCAATAGTGGTAGGAGACTGCATGATGTTTTAAGAGGTGTAAAAATACTGTTCCTTTGTCACATAATACTTCTGACTTTGCTAGACTTCAGAAGGCTGACAGTGGTGGGACACACAAGCAGAGCTGTTCTACTTGGTTTGTTCTAACTGCGGTACTGGAAAGAGCTCAACAGTTGAACTGTTGTAGGACTGCAAAACTGAGTAGTCAAGACTATTCCTGGTATAAGATGGAGGAAAAAGTCAGATACCATTCAAAAAAACAGGAAGAAAATGAGACACTTGGAAGTACCCAGCCTGGGTTTTGTCTTGTGTGTTTAAGTGAAACCTAAGGTTAAACCCAAGGCTTGAGTCTTTGGATGAAAAGGAGTAGAAGTGGTTATCTTGACTGTTTGTGTATTTGTCAGCCTTCTGTGACTAGGTTAACTGTGTGTTGGTTCAAGATCCCAGCACAAGAAAACAATGAAAAAGCAATACTAACCCTAAAGATGAGCAAGAAAGACCTAAAAGCTTTGAGACAGAGAATCTCCTACTTTTCAGTGGTTTGGAATTAACCAAATATAGTGAGATTAGTTAAGTGGAATATTTAGTTAGGCTGACATGCAAGAACCAGCTCCTTGGAAAACTCTTCCCCAGGAAGGAGAGGGGAATGGGTAGTATGAGTCACCAGCTTCACAGGCTGAACTGCAGATTGGTACTATAGAATTCTAGAAGTTAGAAAATCATGAACTATGAAAAAGTTGAATACTGAATGAACTATGGGCTTATCTTTAAACCCCAGTTCTCCTGCTGATGCTGTGTAGTGTTTGCTGTTGATGCCTCTCTAATCTGAAAAATGTGTGAAGGTGCAATTGAATGCAACAGCAGATTGTCTGCTTCAGTGTTAACACTTTTAGATTCTCATGTCCTCTACATATATTCAGTTGTTCTGTGGATGGAAAGTGCAGGCATCTGAAGTAGCGTGGTAACTCTGTGGGATGGGGGGGTATAGGACCATGCTTGTGCCTAGTTTGGCTCTTGTTCATAACAAAATGAAGCAATCTAAAAATAGCTGTAGACTGGTACAGTTCTTCCAGTGTCCTAGATGGACAGCAGCACATGTCAGTCTGGTTTCAACCTGTGTTTTACTCCAGTAATAGCACAGACTTTGAGACTGACATGTAGTATCACTGTGTCCTTTCTGGGATGCTGATAGGTCCTTTTAAAATGACAAAGGATAGCTAGGTTAATGCTGATAGTTTAAATATTTTCTTTGAGTCTTTGAAGGAGGAAGGTTGCTAGCATTTTAGTTCAATGCTACTTAGTAACTCTCTCCTTTGTGTAAAGTTTAGGTAGCCATTAAGAATGATCTTTGCCAGCTACTTACACTTTCCCAACCTACTGCCTTTGCAAAGCATTGATGTTGCCCAGACCTATATTGAAGTGGGATGTAGACTGGAAATTGAAGGTGGTGAGGGAATACCAAGGTGAAACTTGGCAAACGTGGCACTTGTACTCTTTTCCTTATTCAGATGTGAACTTCTGTTGTGAGTTGCTCTTCTGCCGTACAGCTCTTCTTTATTAGAGCATGATTAGTAAACTTAACTAAATAGTAAAACTTCCTTCCTGGACATGTGAGGCTTTATTAGTGTAAAGCCCATAGCATTATGATGTTAAACTTGCAATAATTTTAAAGGGTGTGGTCAACTGTTGAGAAATGTATTCTAAGGTACTGTTGTAAACACTAGTAATGTGCAGACCACTTGATCCATTGCTGATAAAGGTGGAGATTTTGTTGCTACTACTAACACAGATGTTTTTATTTTGAATACCTGATGCATTAGGGAACAGATCCTGCGTGTGAAGGCTGAAGAGGATAAAATTCCTTTACTGGTAGTGGGAAACAAATCTGACCTGGAAGAGCGCAGACAAGTGCCTGTGGAAGAGGCTAGAAGTAAGGCAGAGGAGTGGGGTGTGCAGTATGTAGAAACCTCTGCCAAAACTAGAGCGAATGTAGATAAGGTAAGACAAATGACACCTGCTTGATTAGATTGTTACTACTTGTTTAGTAACTGACTGACTAATTCTTGGCTCTTGCTGGGACAAAAGCAAATCCACACTTGGACTTCTGAAAGCCTAGATTATTAAAAAAAACAAAACAAAACCAAAAAACCCCCAAACAAACCAAAAAAAACCCACAAAAAACAAAACCAAAAAAACCCACAACTTACTGGAATGTGTCCACTTAAGCAAATACCTAGCTTAGAGGAGCCAGAGACTCAGTACAAGTTAATGTTACTGTCTTGTTTTTGCTGTTTGTACCTGAACCAATAGCTTTCCAATAGTACATTGGGTAAATGGGTTTAAGAATTCCCTGAAGTATGTTATTTTGTTTATACGCTGTGTTATAATAACAGCAATAAATAGCAAGCTATAGACACTTATAAATTGCTCCTCCTTTCCTACAAAGCTACATATGGTTGTGGCTAATGGTAAAGATTTTATTCTTGTTTTCTGCCAAGACTACTTTGAGTTGAGAGAAGAACTCTTCTTTCTGTGTCCCTGTCCTGTTTTGACTTGTTCGTGCTGGTCTAGGACAGTTATTCTCAGCATGTTTCTGCTGCTGGCTTCATGCATAAACAGTGGTGGTGGTGGGTTATTCTGGAAGAGAGATGAATTATCACAGAATCATCAGGGTTGGAAGGGACCTCTGGAGATCATCTAGTCCAACCCCCCTGTTAAAGCAGGTTCACCTACAGTGGATTGCATATGATCATGTCCAGGCAGGTTTTGAATATCTCCAGAGAAGGAGACTCCACCAGTGCTCTGCCACCCTGAAAGTATAGAAGTTCTTCCTCATATTAAGGTGAAACTTCCTGTGTTTCAGTTTGTGCCCATTGCCCCATAACCTGTCACTGGGCACCACTGAAAAGAGTCTGGCCCCATCCTCTTGACATCCACCTGCAAGATATTTATAAGTGTTCATGAGATCCCCCCTCACTCTTCTCTTCTCCAGGCTGAACAGGCCCAGCTCTCTCAGCCTTTCCTCATAAGAGAGATGCTCCAGGCCCCTCATCATCTTTGTTGCCCTCTGCTGGAGACTCTCCAGTAGTTCCTTGTCTGTCTTGAACTGGGGAGCCCAGAGCTGGACACAGGACTCCAGAGGTGGCCTCACCAGGGCAAAGAAGGGGAGGATAATGTCCCTCAACCTGCTGGCCACATTCTTCCTGATGCACCCCAAGATGCCATTCGCCTTCTTGGCCACAAGGGCATGTTGCTGGCTCGTGGTCAACTTGTTGGCCACCTGGACTGCCAAGCCCTTCTCAGCAGGGCGGCTTTCCAGCAGGTCAACCCTAGCCTGTACTGGTGCAGTTATGACTATGGAATGTTTGCCCAGTAGTAGGGAAAAATCAGTTTCAAGCCTCTCCTTCGTTCTGTGTGTAGTGGGTGTTTCTTGAAGAAGAGGGTGCCTTTTTACTTCAACAATCCACAGAAGATGATCTGAAATTACTGTTGGGCCCCCTAAGGACTCCAAAGGTGTGGCTTGGTAATCTGTGTTTGTTTAAAGATTACAAATTGTAAGCAGTTTTCTCTTTTGACAAAGAACATTTGCCAACTAGCTGTATTCTTAAGTTCTTCTAGACAGCTTCCTGTTCTAGTCTATATTGGTTTACTAATGGAAATGCTGTTGGTGCATAAGTTACCTAGTAGGAACTCTATTTCTTATTATTGGTTTAAAACAGTGTATATGAAACTCTTGAATTGAGACCTTTTGATTTATAACCTTTTGGTGTTAAAGGACATAGCATAATTTAAATTTGGTAAAGAACTATTCTGACTTGCAGAATCTTACTAGAAAGTCACTGTCAGATGCATAAACTGGGTGATGTAGTAAAATATGAATACCTAGACTTGCTTTTGCCTATGAGCTGTCTCATGTGACTAGCAAGTGACCACCCTGTTTTATACTGAGACTAACTTTCTGATCAGTTGGGATTAACAGCAATGTAACTGTGTGTCTGGAGTGTACTAGGATGGTGTTCTAGACTTGCTGTCATAGGTCTTCTCTAGCTAGCTTGTGTGACATACTGGTTATCCTCTATATAAGCACTGTTGTGTCTGTTAAGGCAAGTTATCGGCCATTGTGATGACTGTGCATTGACACTGTAGCAGAATAAAAACAATCTTAAGAGGATTTTGAATGAAACTATTCTATTTCTGATCAGTAGCATGATCTTCTTGTCTTGTTTCCAAGTATCAAAGACTTGTGTAGTTCCACACTTAAAAAAGAAAAGCCTGTCTCTAGAGTGACTAAGCTCTTTTTCTGTAATCCTAAAAATCATTTTTCCCAATAACTTTCTACAATAAAACAGCTACACATACCACTTAAGATGCAACCTAGACATCAGGTGTACAGTGGTGAAATCAGCTAGAATTTTGGGGAAAATATCAGAGTAATGACTTTCTCTGAATCTTTCTTATAACATAGAGAAATTTTTGTGCCTGACACTGTCACTTGAATGCTGCAGCTTTTTAATTAAGACAGGCAGAATACTACTGAGCAGAGTGTGCTTGTAACCACATGGAAAGGACTAGACTAAATGCTTTGCATAGTTAACAAGAGCGATTTGCCTACAAATGTTTGCTAGGCACAGACAAATGTTCTTGTGAACTCTGAATACTACTTTTGTGTAAGACTTCAATTCAATAGAAAGCTCTCATAACAGGGCTGTTGAACAATTTGATAGCCAGGTAAGATTGTGGTACTACTTGCCACTGCTTGACATGCTACATAATTCTGATGTTGAGTTTGTCACTGGGACCTATGTCTAGGCTCAGTTGTGCTGTATTAGGTACAGTGTGGTGCTACATGTTTATTTGCTGCTGAACACAGCAGCTTTTATCTGCTTTCTGGTGGCAGAACTTGTTTAATCTTTCTTTATTTTTCCCTCCTAGGTGTTCTTTGATTTAATGAGAGAAATCAGAGCAAAGAAAATGTCAGAAAACAAAGACAAGAATGGCAAGAAAAGTGGCAAGAACAAGAAAAGCTTTAAAGAAAGATGTTGCTTACTGTGATGCTTGGGAACTGTAAATATCTACAGGTGGCATGGATAAAATACCACTAAGGATATAGGGCTGGATTCATGAAAGGAAGTCTGTATTGACTCCCTCAGTCTTTTGCTTTGCATATCACACCTTCAAAATGTGAAAACAGAACTTTGAAACCATTTCTGGTTTCCAACAAAACCTATGCCTACCTAAACTGAAATGGGCTCCATCTTCCCAGTGTCTTTCAAAACTAGAAACGGTTTCAGAGCTACAATCCTTCTGCTTGATTATACGAAGTACTTTTGTAATCATGTCCTAGTTACTCTAATGTTTCTCTGAATATGTTTCTCTTGAACCTCTACTGGCCTTAACAAGCACAGCTGTTCAGGTTCAAACACTTTTTTTCTACTGTTGCTGCCCTCCTTGATGTTGCAAACTGCAGAAAAGCTAGATGACATCTGGTAAAGGGTTTGAGGCTCCATCTTGTGTTAATTGTCACTGATATTTCTTACACTGAAATCTGTTGGCTTCTTCCCCACACTCCATATAAGAAATAGCGACTAACTTGAGAGTCAACTCAAAACAAACTTTCTTCTATATTCTGTTTAGTCAATACAGCATTCATGAATCAAGCCTATGGACTCAATTCAGACTTATTTAGGCAATGCAAAAATTAATATTTAAATACTGGCTAGATGCATTCCCTACTGGTCTGTCTTCTCACCCTTCAATTAGTGGTATGGGGTGAGAAATTGACTGTAAGCTTTTATTCAAAAATAATAATATTGTCACCATCTCCTGGAAATGCTGTCCTGGGTTTCGTCTATGTATTGTGGCTAGACTCAGTTATGCTCTCTCAACATCTATCCTCCTTCCCCTCCTTGGTACTGGAATAGTGAAAACCAAAGTGTTGATTTCATCAGTTTTGTTTATATTGAAACACTTGTGATCATGTTGGAAAGTGGGAACATCTGCATCTGTCTGTCTTGCTGAAGATGAAAACTTTGAGTAAGGATGAGTCACACACAATCATGACTTGGAATAGGTGAGGCATACATGCTACCTCTCAATGACTAGCTGGCTAGTGAGTTGTATGGTGTCAAAAAAAAAAAACAAATGAAGTTAAGCAGTTGCCACATCTGTTATTCACTGTTAATTTTATATGTACTGTTTCTGATGCACAGCAGCCTAGCACATGGGGATGCATGTTGAGTTTTGCTGTCACTTATGCAATGGTGGTCATGTATTGATCAACAAAAACCAGCCTAGAAATGCGAAAGTCAGTACTTAGCATGTCCTTTTGTCAGCTGACTGAACTGAGCTTTCTGATGCAGTTTTAAGTGCTGTTGCCAAAAAAACCACTTCTGTCACTATCGTGGAAAGTAACTGTCTCTTCTGGTTGTGAAGTCTCTTAACAAATTATGGCTATCTTCTATTTTGAAGGAGTAGAGACTTAAAGTAGCAACTGTGTCTTCCTTGTTAACTGGATGCTTAAAACACAGTTACTTGGTGAAAGGAGTATGCTATGTGGTTGTTCAATGAAGCACACTGCAGCACTAAATGAACAAAGTGTTTCTTCTTGAGGTGAAGGAGTAGTGAATACTGTTCAGTGCTTAGTATTGTAATTTGAGGTTGAAGAACATTTTTTTTAAACATGTATTAGATTGCTCTTGTGCATTCCACCTCTGAACTTCGAAAAAAGTAAGATGTGTTAGATATCAGAACCTCTGTTGGCCGGAGGTTTCACAGGGACTTATCGCAAACTCATTGTCTTCCATAACTAGTTCAACTTGTCAGGCAACTCATTGGATTGGGGAAACTGTACTAAATAAAAGGTGCTGTAATCTTCATTCTTGTCAAGTTAAATTCCTTCTTTGGTAATGTTATCTTGTATATGCAGAAAGAATGGTTAACCAGTTCTGGAGATAATTCTCTTTGAACAGTGTAATTGACTGGTATTACAAATACAGTTTTGAAGCAGAGGCTGGGAGCCTGCTGGCTTGCAGAACTTGTCACTTGAGCTATATCACGTATGTCTAAAGCTTGAGCACCTAGTGGGGCAGTTGGAGCTGTAACACTTCTAACAAAGTTTCCTCTTGAACTTCCACGGATAAAGTCCACTTTTGAGTTCATATTGTGCATAGAGCAAATTAATGACAGCTTCTGGAGGATGGCAACTCACTTATGTTTGGTTCTAGTTGAGAACTAAAGGTTAAGTCCTTAATTAACCTAAAGGATAAACAACAGTTGAGTTCAAGTTACAAGCTTATCTAGGTCAAGCCCCTCTGAGGCAGATTGTAAAATGTGTCTAACAAAACTGAATAAGCTTTCCTTGCTATATGAATAATGAACTCAGCGAAGCTCACAATGAGCAGCTCAGCTGTATTGGCTCAAGAGACTTGTATGCCTTGACCTTTGATTTCTTTAAAGTACCTAACAGTATTTGATAGGACAGATTGAATTTCTACTCACAACAGTGAGTCTTCCATTGCTGTTCTTACAGTACACGTGCTGTTCTCACTCAGGTTACTTTTTTAACTGATAAAGCTTCACCACTGAGGTGGACTTACTTAGAAGAAGGTGCTTGCTGCTTCGTGGCTTGATACTGCATCTCTTCAGCGTTCTGTGCTTGTCACCTTGTCTCCAGACTAGGCCTGGAGACTAAGTACAGCAGCTTTTCAGTATTCCTCTTCTGTATTTGCAACAAACTTCAGTTTAACTTTCCAGTTATCGCTGAAAACATGATAAACAAGGCAGCTACCTTGGCTACTTCATAACTGGGCAACAAGCATTCTGACTTGTACCAGTAAGGCAATAAAACTGCTCCCCTGGGTTGGAATCCTGTTGCCTCTGCCTCTTATGGTGGAAGTGCCTGAATGCATGCCCTTCTAAATAGGGTCAATATGATTTGAGGGTCCTTGAATGACTTCCAGGTGTGCTTCACTGGACATCAATGTCAAGTGGGTTGACTAGAGTGAATAAAAAATGGCACAGAGAAATGCTACCTTTGGACTTGAGGGCTTCCTGTGAGCAGAGTAATGGGAGCTTTGGCTTCTAATCTAAATGAATACTTGCAGATCAGGTACATCAAAGAAGGAGGACTTTGGCAAGAGGGAGTGTGTGTGGCTGCCTGCTAGCCATGCTGTGTAGCTGAGGCAACTGAAGGCTGTATTGAAGCTGGTATGTTCTAGCAGCCTTTGCATATTAGGTAAATAAAGACCAAGACTTGTCTTCATCAGTATAATGCACTCGTGTAAGTCTTTCTGGAACATGGCTGCAGGCAAGTAACTCAATATTTGAAGCTGGAAGTCATGCAAGACTTGACTATGCACTTGCACTTAAGCATTCAAATATTCTTGCGTAATGGCTTACTATAAAGTCAGGCAGCTGTTTACTGCTATATGCAATCTTCCATATGTGGCTTAGCTGTGCCTATTCAAAAGTTCTAGTCTTCCTTCTGCTTGGAGCAAACATCTATGAGACAAGTCCCTATTATAATGAGGGCTAAGCCATTATATGAAAAAAGCAGATTAAACTCCAGGAGTGCAAAGGCAGACCTGACTCTTTTTTTTTTTTTTTTTTTTTTAGGAGCATCTCTCTAGATGACAGTACAGCAGTACAGATGCAGCATGAAGGCATTTTCAATGACTTGTGCTATATGTGTTTTATACACAGTAATACACCTTTACTGCCCTTTCTAGGCAAACGTTTGGCTTGAAAGATGTATGCGTATGTTCACTGGGCATTAAACTTCAGTAAGATGTTAATAGCCATCTGAAGTTCAGTTGAATCCTATCTGGCTAATACAATGTTTAAGAATACGTTAGGTCTAAGGCACAAAGCTACAATCTGGAATGTAGTAAGAGATGGGAGGGGAAATGCATCTAACTAAATGCTCACCAAGATCTTTTTTTTTTTTTTTTTTTAAAAGCTTTCCAAAGCCTTAACCCTGTACTAGGGGCTGACAGGTCTATCAATTCTTGCTCAAGAAGAGGATACTGTTTATTGATTCAACTCAGAGCTTCTGTCTACATAAGCTCTCTTTAATTGCTATAAGCATATGTTGCAACGTTCACCTCCTGTTGACTTTGTAGTTGGGAGAAGGAGGGAAGAGGAACAAAAAAAGCTATGATTTTCACCATAATCGCCACACTTCATGGGAATGGCAGGTGTTCCTCTTGGGAGGGGAAGGTGTTATCTCTAACACCAAGAAAGAGGTTTAGCATAGAGGAAGTGATTCTGATTGCAAGATTTAATAAAACTGTCTCTAAACTATGTATGCTATACTATACAATGTAAATTCTTATTTTCTTCTTGCATAGCTTCAGAGCTTTGTCTCTAACTTGCACAAACATTTTTAATGTCTATAAAACTGGTCACTTTTCATTATCATGCTAATACAACTGATTTGTATTACTATTGGTAATAAAAAGAAAAACAGGTATAATATTTGTTTGTTATTGATTTTTGCAGTGTCCTAAAAGCTTGTCTAATCCCCAGATTCTTGAACTAGGCAACTGCTGAGTTTCAGTATCTGGAACTAACCTTTGTATCAAATCCGTAACATGATTATTATATTGCAGACTGTGGGAAGGGAGGGGAGGAGGAGGTGACTGAGGACCCCATCGTCGGTTTTCTGGAAATGGTCTGCATGTTTCAGGACTGAACTGGACTTGATTCATTCATAGATAATTTTCCACAACATAATTAGATCAGACAGCTTGTATCAACTGTGTAAATGACAGAGTTGCTTTCCTCTTTCTTTAGTCAGTCTTGTGGCTCAAATAACAGAATAAGCAACATTGTGTGGAAATACTGATCTTTAGTTTTGAGTGTGCCAGTCTCCACTCTCTGTGTTGGTTTGCGATGAACAAACTGCAGCAGAGAAGCTGAGATGCCTCTGAGGCAGGATGGTTCAGGACAGACTCACTGCACTGCTATGCCACTTAATTTGGAGTGGCATAGAAATGGGATTCACAGTAAACTTTGGGTGCAGAGTCTGCTGCCACGGCTGTACAAGTTGGAAGGCAGAACATCCCGTAGCTGATGACTTCTGGCCAAAGGTTACAGCAGTTTACATAATCTTGTTTGCATGGTGCTTGCCCTGTGTTTCAGGTTGTCATGGTTTACATAGCTCTCCTTTCCAGTGAAGTAATTTAAATATTCTGCAGCAGAGAAAGAGTAGCATGAAAAGTGTTGCGGAGGGGGCAGGAGAGGGTTCTGAGCACAGCTGTATTGCATAGCTATACCCAAAACCCGGAATGGCACCTTTTTCTTTAGATATTCTGTACGTGCTTGTAAGGAACAGGCCTTCCTTAAGTTGCAGCAGGATGAAATTGGAAAACGATTGCAGATACATAGCTTGGCTTCTGCCCCAACCAGAACACTTAACTAATGTGGTTCTGTGTGCTAAATGCTCTGGGGACTCCTGGGATGGCACAGGCACCTCTTCCTGAGAACTGTTGGCTCCATCTTGTGGCTTTAGGAGTTAGAAGCTCTACCATGGAGAGGGGCTGCTCAGCATGCTCCTGCTCAGCATGCTCAACTGCCCCTTGGTGTAGCTGCTATTAATCTGCTACCTGAATT